TACAGCCGCCATACAGCGAAGCAGTATGGCAGTTTCTCAGAAAATTGGGAGTCAATCTACCTCGAGACCAAGCAATACCACTTTTGGGCATGTACCCAAAGGAGGCACACTCACACCACAAGGACATTTGCTCAACTATGTTTATAGCAGCATTTGTACACCTGGAATCAACCTAGATGCCCCTCAACCAAAGGATGGATAAGGAAAATGTGGTACATTTACACAATGGAGTACTGCTCAGCAGTAAAAATCAATGACATCTTGAAATTTACAAGCAAATGGACAGAACTAGAAAAAGCCATCCTGAGTGAGGTAACCCAGACCCAGAAAGACAAATATAATATGTGCTCACTCATAAGTGGATATTAGACATAAAGCAAAGGACAAGCACACTTCAGACCACAACCCCAGAGAACCCAGGTAACAAAGAGGAACCTAAGAGAGACATACATGGATCTGCCTAGGAAGGGGAAAAAAACAAGAGACCCTGAGTAAATTGGGAGTGTGGGGGGCAAGGGGGAGGGTGGAAGGGGGGAAGAAAATGTATAGCTCATTTTAAAAAAAAGTCAAAAAATATTTTCTGGAAGAAATGAGGAACAGGTATATTGGAGGGAGCAGGAGAAGAGGAAGACATTGTGGGGCAAAGGAGTTTTAGGGGGCAAGAGGGAGGGTCAGCATTGTGGGACAAAGTGGGGGACTGTCAAGTGATTGGCAGAGGCCAGGGCTGTAACACAGGCAAGAGGTCTCACTTCACAATTGCTTCTCATGGACAATTCTGCCTGGCTCTGACAAGGCACCCCAAGCTCAGAGCCCCCCCCCCATGCAAAGCCTGTGCTTTTGTCCAAACACAAGGGCAAACCCAACGGCTGAGGCCACTCACCCGCTCTGTAATAACCTCCAGCTCCTCCACCCTGAGCTGGAGGGTTGTGATGGCTGTGACGGCTGCCATTTCCTCCTTCCATGTGGGATGTCTGGAAAGGACATGCTTGCTTGGCAATGCTGAGACATTCAGGAATGCCAGTCTTGGCCTTCTCTAGAATTCCAGCACCTTCCAGGGCTCCTGGATCAGCCTGGGGTTTGCTGCTTCAACACAAAAACAGTGTCTTCTAACAGGGCTTCCTCTTAGAAATGGCAAAGGAGAAAACAGGAAGCTCCTGTTGCTGGGGGGTGGGGGGGCTTTCAGACCCCCAGCTCAGTGAGAGACATTGGACAGCATTGAAAATGCCAGGACACTTCCACCCCTCAGGCCCTGCCTGGGCTTGAAGCAGACATCATCAATTGATTGAAGAGCTTCCATTTTCCCACCAAGCCAGGCGCCCTAAAATAAGCTCACCTGCCATTCCTTTGGCAGGGAGTGTGGAAAGTCTCCTCACAGAGGAGGTGAAGGGAGGAGGCCCCAGGAAGCAGCCTGGACAGGAAGGAAGCAGCTGCAGTCAAGCCTCGCAGCTGCCAGCCAGCAGCAGTGTTACTCTGGATGGGATACTGCACTCACTGCCCCCCAGCACCCCTGTTCCGGAACACAGTGGTTGGACTGGATGTCCCCAGCGAACCCTTCCTGCTCGTAGTGACTGGTTTACTCTAGTCAGACATAGGTAACCAGAAAATTCTGGAAACTAGCCAGGGGGAGAAAGGAGCAAAGGTGCCCGCCCACAGTAAGGGAGTTACAAGGAAGGTGGACAGACAGACAATGCCTCTGCCCTGCTTGTGTGAGGGAAGCCAATAAGCCATAGGAGGCCAGACAGGAGGCCCCAGCAGGCATAAACCAAGAGAGAAAGGCAAGCTGCAAAGGGTTCCTACCAGACCCCGGTCTGACCCTTCACATACCAACTGACTTCCCCTAGCCCACACCCAGACATGTGGCCACCTCTATGAAGAGAGTGTGGTGTTTTCTGGCAGGGTGTGGCTCCAGAACTCATTCCTTCATTGAGGGCAGTTGTTACTGAGTATTGTAGTGTGTGTTTTATGCTAGGGCTTAGGGAAGGACAACAAGGCCTCATCACACAAGGTCATCAGACACCATAGGTCCTAAGCTAGCACCATTTGGGCAAGGAGCTCTGCACTGTCACCTCAACCACAGTCAGGACATTGTAGTCTGATGCCCCCATGAGTCTACGAGCACATTTTTTATTTTGCTTTTGTTTGGTTTGGTTTGGGGTTTTGTTCGTTCGTTCGTTTGTTTTTATAAGAGTGTTGGGACCTGAGTCCTTTGCAGTCGCATTTGGGGATCTGGAACTAGGAAACCACTTATCAGCTGTCAGCTTTGGGATTCAGACTCCAGCTGTTCACTCCTTCTTACTGCAGCCAGGGTCTTAAGGACCATCTGGAAGATGCTTGCCTATGTTTGCACTGTTCAGAAATTTGGGTATGGGCATCTAGGAGGGAGTATACCCAAAAGAATGAGGACCCCTCACCCCCCAAAGCTGAGACCCAGGGAAGGGGGACAACTCTTGAGAAAAGGAGTGGATAAGTGTCAAGTTCTGGGGGGACAGGGATTCCTCCCAGGGGGGAGCCTGTGGTTGTACTGCTTGCCTTTGAGTGGCGACTCTGCTGTGTTGGGAGCTAGGCACCATCTAATTGTGTGGTCCAATACAGTTGGCTAGCATCTGGAGCCTGCTGGAGCCCAACAGCCGCAGACTCGGCAGCCCTTGACCAACCCTGTGCCGGGAGGATGGCCTCACTCACAGACTCCTTCAGCTTTTGGCCCAGAACACATTGTTGCCTTCAAGCACAAAAGCTGCCATTGACCTCTGCTCTGCTGTCTTGGGACAGAAGTGTTACAGCTGCTATGCACAGTACAGGCTAGGCTTTGGGGAAGGAAGCTGCTGCTCTCACCAGTTGCCACCTGCCAAGAGGGAAGGCAGGTCCCTGCACACTCATGAGTCAGTTGTGTGAGGCCGAGGAGATGCTAGCAGAGTGTGGAAATCTTATCCCACAGAAGCCTGGGACTCAGACCTCTAAAGCGAAGCAGACTGATTGCCCAGCTGTGAAGACTGGCTGCAAGGGGACCTCAGGGTGAGAGGATGCTGAGTCTCCTGTGGCTACTGTGGGATCCTTTGGAGCAGTGCTGGTGAGATGGCTCAGTAGGTAAAGTGCTGGCAGATTCCGAGCATTTCCACAAACTCAATTAGTGCCCCCAGCCCTGGGGATGGAGACAGCCAAATCCTGAGCTCCAGGCTCAGCGAATGAATGAACTTCAAGGTGGTGACTTTTACATCATGCAAATGATGTCCCCATTCACATTTTAGTTCATGCCAGCTGTGCTGTCACACACCTAGAAATCCAGTACTTTGTTTGAAGAGGTAGGCAGGAGAATCAGGGATTTAAAGTGAGCCTACATGAGAACCCTGTCCCAAAACAAACAAAAACAAAAAAAACTCAAGATGCTGAAGCAGCACAGCAGTTAAGAGCACTACACAGTTCTTGCACAGATTTTTTAAAATGTAAATAAATGTAAAATTTTCGGACAAGTCCCCCAGAGCACATGGGAAGGTGGGGGGCAGTGAATGGAGAGAGAACTAGGAGAAAGAGAAGGGGAGGAGAGGAAAGCATGTGTGACTAGGAAGATTGAGTCAGGGTAGGAATAGAAGACAGGAGAGAGAAAGAGAGAGAGAGAACATAAAAGAGGGAGCCATTGTTGGCTTGAAGAGAAAACTGAACCTAGCAAGAGGTCTAGAGACCTACAAGACGGACTCCAACTAACAATTTGAGCAACCGTGGAAAGGCTACCATGAATGCCCTTCCCTGATAGTGAGATCAATGATTAACTTATCCACCATCATGGAGCCCTCATCTAGTGCCTGTTGGAAGCAGAGGCAGACACCCATAACTGGACACTGAGTCGAACTGGAATCCTCTCTCTCTAGAGAGGAAAGGCCAGGTTGCAGAAACACATAGAGACAGCTGACCTGAATAAGGAGGAGCTAACGGGCCTCCCAGACTGATAGCTGGGAATCCAGCATGGGACTGACTCAGACCCCCTGAATATGGGTCTCAGCTAGAAGGACTGAGCAGTCTAAGGGACCTCAGACAGTGGAACCAGGATGTATTCCTGGTGCAGACCTTGCGGACACATCCTCCATGGAGGGACGCTCCCTTGACCTAGAGTCCTAGGAAAGAAGTCCTAGTCCCTACTTAAATGACTTGACAGATTTATATGACCCCACCTGGATGGCATAGCCCTACATGTGGAATGGGGATGGGGGGATGGGTGGGGAGGGTGGTCATTTCTACATGTGGAATGGGGAGAAGGGGAGAGAGGGCAAGAGGGAGGGAGGGAGGGGGAACTGGGATTGACATGTAAAATAAAAAATAATCAAATAAAAATTTTAAAAAACTTAATATAATTCTGAAAAAAAAATGTAAACTTTTCAATTCACATACAATATTAAATACTATTTGGCATTAAAATGACACACCCTGGATGATGTCTTAAATAAAACCCTTTCAGACCAGGTGCATTGATGCACATCTTCAATCCCAGCACTCAGGGTAAAGACAGACGGATCTTTGTGAGATCAAGGCCAGCCTGATCTACAGTGAGTAGAACCCCAGAACACCCAGGGCTATGTAGAGACCCTGTCTCAAAGTAACAACAACCACACACACACACACACACACACACACACACACACACACACACCACACCACACCACACCAAACAAAACCCTGTTGATCCTTGAGAGGAAAGAGATGTAGAAATATGTCCCCTCCAGAGACAGAGACAGAGGACAAGTTTCTCCTCACCAAAAGAAAACCAAGGTCACCCTTTAAATGTGGCTGGTTTGAGGACAGGAGAGATGGCTCAGTGGTTAAAAGCAATGGCTTTTCTTCTAGAGGACCCAGGTCCAAATTCCCAGTACCCAACGATGGCTCCTCATCATCTGTAACTCCAGTTCCAGGGATCTGATGCCTCTTCTGGCCTCTATGTGTACCCAGGCACACGGTGCACTGACATACATGGGGGCAAAGCACAGAATATAAAATAATTTATAACCAGCAGGTTTAGAGTTTCACAAATAACATTTATTGGCTGCATTCATAACAGACTCGTTCAGATATTCACACCAGCCTGCCTTCAACTAACAGTCATGTGGTGGCTTCTACTTCAGATTGGATCGTGGGTGCAGATCTTGTTGTGTGGAGACAGCAAGCGTCACAAATCCTCCTGATCTGAGGGCCTCCCCTGAGAACCGTGATTGTGACTGCCATTCTTGCTGAGGATCTTGACAGTAGCTGAAGTCTCCACTCAGTCCCAAAACAAATGGCTGGAAAGCCAAGAGAAAGGCTAGTGCTGGGAACTATCCCCCAGCCTGAGCGCTTACTGTCCTGGGCAACCAGGTATGTGATGTGACCGTTAACAGGGCTTCCCACATCCCAGCTGGACAAGGGGGCTGGGCCAGCACCACTGCCCCAGAGCCAGGCCTGTGAAGCCAGGGGCACCTCTCGGAAGAGCCTTACAAGTGCTGTCACCATGGCATCCAAGGGCTCAATGGTCTTTCAGTAAACGGCATAATGCAAGTCTGGGGCAAGATGTTGGTGGCAGGGTCTCTAGATTCCAAAGTGAGTGATGAGTCCAGGCCCACCCCTTCTCAACGCCCCAGCAGCTCACCGAATGGCCATGATGGCCCTCAGGACAAACTGCAGCAGGGTAAGGAGATTAAAGCTCATGGGTAGGAAGAGGCCTAAGCGGCCAGCATGTGGCGCATCCTCCTGAGAGCCTGGCAGCTCATCTTGATGAAGGGCCTGGAGCTGCTGCCACTTGAGGAGGAGATGCTGGTCCCCACAGACCCGCCAACAGCCATGCCAGCTGCTTGATTCCAGGGAGCACTCTAGGAGCAAGAGGAGCACTGTTGAAGACAGCATGATACCCTCTATGGCCCCAAGAGCTGAGAACTGTGGATCTGTAGGTGACTGGCCCCACCCAGCCAAGGTGTAGGTTGTGTCAAGGTGGTCAACAGTTCCTTTTTTGTTTGTTTTTTAGTTTTTCAAGACAAGGTTTCTCTGTGTAGGCCTGGCTGTCCTGGAACTTACTCTGTAGAACAGGTTGACCTCCACCTCCCTTTGTGTACTGATAGAAATATAAGCATTAATTTCATCAGTGCAAAAACACTCTTAATATGATAATGCAATATGATGACTACATTTCCCTTCTGAAAAATCTCACCACAGTACAGAGCAGAAAATTGTGGAGCCCTCTTTGTCAAGGGGGCTCAAAGATCAAAAATGTGTCTGGGGATGTAGTCCAGCATACAAAAGGCCCTAACTGTGATTCCAGCACAAACACACACACACACACATACACACACATCAAATGGAAACTCATTGGACTTGAAAACAAATGATGAAATCACACTGAGCTGGAAGAGAGGACAGAAGTGTGGTCAGGCTGTCTTGATCCTGCCTCCGAAGTCTCCTAACATGAGCAGGTGACAAACATACTCTGTAGGTCACCTGAATTGAGGGACATGGTGAAGCACCTGTAATCCCCACCACGGGGGGAGGCTGAAGATGGAGTACAGCTTGAGCCCAGCAGTTCATACACAGGAAGATCTCATCTTGAAAACCAAACAAACAAATCACCTCAACTAGAAAGCATGATTAGAGTTGCTGGAGAGACAGCTCAGAGGCTAGGACACTGTCCCCTCTTTTAGAGGATCAGGGTTCAATTCCCAGCAGCTACATGATGGCCCACAACCATCAGTAACTCCAGGTCTAAGGGATCTGATACCCTTTTCTGGCATCCATGGGCACTGCATGCATGAAAACACTCACATACATAAAATAAAAGTAAGTCCTGAAGACAAAAAAAGTGAAAATATGACTGGAATAAAACTTAATGCTGGTTTTGAAAATCTATCAGCTAATCCTATAATTTTATAATAAATTCCCTTTTCCTAATAATTTAAGTACTCAAAGTGAAAGCAGTGAAAACAGACCTCTTGGGAGCTGCCACCGGGTCTGCGGTGCCCTGGTTCTCTCATGTTCCTGAGAGAAGGTTCTGGTATGGGTTTCCTGCTTTGTCAGACCCTGCTCTGCTCTTGGGAACCTCCCTGGGGTCATAGCCTAGTCTCTTCCCTTCACCCCCCTGCCCCTCCAGGCATAACTCAGCCCTCCATCTGAACACTATAGGGTTCCAACTTTGAACATTTCTGAGGACACCTTTTGTGTGGCTTCCTAGGATCTGATTTTCCAGGAGCCATGTGTCCTGGGACGTGCCCAATGTGTCAGTGTCACTGTGGCTCAGGGTTCTGTCTCCCCATAGCAAGTGCCGCATTTCAGGTACAGCCCACTGTGTCTATTCTACTGAGACAACAATCTCAAGCCACCCCCAAGATTTTCCTGTGACATTTCCCAACACTGGTAAGAGTGCTGAGTGCCCTCAGGCTATCCCCAAATGTCACGATTCAAAACCTGATGCCTTCAAGTTGTGCCTGCAGGGCTGGAAGAATCTGCACTCCAGGGTAAGTGTTGCTTCTGGAGTTGGGAACAGGACGTTTTTACACATTTAAGACCAGGTTAGTTGGTGGCTATCCATTTCCTGAGAGCTGGCATCGTGCACCAAAGCACCTGACACCAGACCAAAGCCTGGAAGTGCCTTCCAAATCAAGTCCAGGACAGACACTGAGTTCAAAAAACATGAGTAATATGGAGAGGGGATGTCTTGTCTATTCCAAAGATCTGAGCCATGGGGTGTGTTTGAGGACCATATCACCAATGTGTGAGTGTGTTGCCAAGCATGTATGAACACACTCTGAACACATAAATGTAAGCATACATTATTAACCATGAATGCATACATGCCAGGTCACATGCATGAGTATATGAACACACTGTGCAGCACATACACACACACTGTTATGATTGTATAAGGCATGCATACATATAAGTGTTTGTGTTATAAGAGCTGTCACATCAGAAATACACACCAGTTCAAAAATGAACATGTACATACACTACACACCACAAGTCACAGAAGTTTGTAGCTTAAATAAAACCATCTTAGACATCACCAGACCCAGCTTGTCACTTCTAAAACTGATGGTCTGCCTGTCTCATTTGTAAAAGGGCAGCAGACAGCTGGTGGTGCCTAGCAAGGATTGGAGATGTCTGTGTCACCTATGTGTCCTTGCCCCACCCCCTTCCCAGGGCAGGATGAGGTAACACATAGGGTGGAGTTACCTGGAGTGTCTTTAACATTCTCCAGCCTCTTCATCACCTAAGAGATGAAAAAGTGTGTCAGTATGTCCATCTAGTGACCAGCGGTGTGTAGGGGAGTGATCAGGACTTGAGACCTCAGGGCAGGGATGTTGTGGCTCCCAGTTAAGGGCCAAGTTCTTTGCTGCTCAGTGATGGAGAACCCAAAAGTGGGAAGGCAAGAGAATGGGAAAAAAGACTTCTAAATAGTTCCAAGTACTGGGAAGGCCCTCTAGGCTGCAGGAAGGCTGATGTGGACAATCCTGCTGGCATCATGGCCTAGAGCTACAGCTGTGGGGGTGCAGGCGGCTCCAGAGGGGGAAACCCAGAGCCATGGTCCCTCTCAGCCACCTCTGCAGGACTCTGGACAGATACAGAGATGGAGTTGTGTACAGGGCATGGTAGGGAGAAAGAGGGAGGAAGACACAGCAAAAAGGGAAAGGTGTGGAGGCCTGGATACCAGATGACTCTTCACTGTGTTCAGAGAATGAGACTTGCAGTTCCCAGAAGCCTCCACAAGACACGACCTTCTGCCCTCAGCTGCCCTTGCCATGGCCATCAGGGAGGAGATGCCCCCTTGGACTCCTCCCCTTCCCACTCCTCATTCAGCCCTGTATCACAAGCCCCCTTCTTACCTTCTTCTGTGACCTCAGCCCCTGGGGCACCCAATAGGGCATAACAGCCCTATCCCTGGGCATTGGAAGGTGGCCCCCAAAGCAGTGGCAGGGGCAACGACATGACCTTATGGCTCTGGGGATATAACGTCGCATCATCTTTGAGACCTACCAGTGGACAGTAAGAAAGGTTCAAAGGGGTGAGGGAGGCACCAAATATGGTGGCCCATGCCTTTAATTACAGCATTCAGAAAGCAGGTGGATCTCTGTGAGTTCAAGGCTAGCCTGGTCTACATAGGGAGACCCTGTCTTTAAGAGGGGAGGCTGCAGCACAGCTACTAGAGTGCTTGCCTAGCATGCACAGGGGCCTGGATCCCATCTCCAGCACCACCAGGGGGAGGCCAGCAGGCTTGCACAGGAGACAAAGGCACCTGCTGCCTACCCTGTACACCTGTGTTCCATCCCTGTGTCTTGAAGTGAAAGGAGAGAACTAACTCCTGTAAATTGTCCTCTGACTTTCTACATATGCCCCTTGGCACATATGCATACCCCGTACACATGCATACACAATAAAGTAGATAGACAGACAGACAGACAGACAGACAGACAGACAGAATATTTCAAAACAGGCATGGTATTTGAATGAGGATGGGCCTGTGTCTGTGTTTGACTCCCAGGTCTGTACTTGCTGGGACTGTTTGGAAAGAATTAGGAGTTGTGTGGTCCTTTTCTTTCTTTCTTTCTTTCTTTCTTTCTTTCTTTCTTTCTTTTTTTCTTTTTTTTTTATTTTTAATTTATTGGTTTTGTTTGTTTGTTTGTTTGAGACAGGGTCTTTCTATGTAGCCCTGAATGGCCTGAAAATGACTATGTATACCAGGCTGGTTTCAATCTCACATGCCAAAGAACTTCTTGGTGTGTGGCTGGAAAATGAACTGTGTAGAAGCCTGTGGCAGGGACAAGCGGTAACTGCCCTTCTACCTCTCCACCCAAGTCCAGGTAGTCATTTCTGAGTTCCTTTGACCCTGGAGGATGGGTGTTAATGCCATGTCACTCAGTGGACTGCTCTCAGTGGACATGGTCCCCACAGGAGAGGAGCAGGTACCAGGGAGAAGGAAAACACTGCAGACCTAATACACACATCTCATGAATGAATTTCAAAGGGGCTATGAAAGCCAAAGAAATGCTTAGCAGGTAAGGGTGCGTGGCACAAAGCCTGACATGAGTTTGATCCCTGGAACCCATATGGTTGAAAGAAAGAACCAACCCATAAATGTAGTTTTCTAATCTCTAAAAGTGTACCATGGTGCCACATGTGCACCACACACACACACACACACACACACACACACACACACACACACAAAGAAACAAAAGGGGTAGAAGGGAAAGAGAGGAGAAAGGTGAGCAGGGGCTGTCACTCAGTGGAGAGTACTTACCCAGTTTGTTCAATCCCCAGCTAAAACCAAAACTGTGTCCCAGAAACTTCAGTCATAGAATACCTGTGATTCTGATGGGCTTTGGACCTGAATATGTGTCCTGGCCCTAAGTGATGACCTGCCAAGTCACTTAATTACCTGCTTTCGTGGTCTCAGGGACAGGGGGACCCAGTAGGGCAGCAGTGCATCAGCCCGAGGCACAGGCAAGTGACCCCCAAACCTGGCACAGCATTGGCAACACATGTACTCCTGGAGGACGGTGCGGTGGCTGGGGGACACCTGAGCAAAACACACAGAGGACAGAACTAAGTGTGACAGGAGTGAAGGACAGCACCCAAGGGAAGGGACAGGTACTCGGGTCCCCCTGTGGCTCAGGATGAGGCTGGCTACATGTTTACCAGCTTGGGTCTACAAGCTGGGTGGGGAGAATCCTGCTGCCTCACTGTCCCCAAGTCTGTCTATGGAAGATTCGAGCCATTGGAGTCAGGAGGAGGTGACTACTCCCTGATACAGCTGTGTCTTTCTGCATGGTGCTGGCCATGTATTGGCCTCTAAGGGGTTAGATGGAGCTGGTGACCAGGGCAAAACACTGAAAGGGCTTCTGGATTTCCTGGGGTGCCTGGTCTCAGGGGGAACTAGAAGAGAGGAGGTAAGACTACACGGAGATATGGGGACACAGAAATGATACATACAACCACATGCTTCTATGCAGGGCCCAGCTCTAGACTCTCATCTTCCCCCTTTCTCCCCCAAGGAGGGACAAGAGGCCAAGGGCATGTCCTCACCGAGTGACCTGTGATGCGCATTTCCTTTCCAAAGGTCTGAAATGAACCCTTCCTAGAAAAGAAGAACACACAGCTGAGTCTTCTGGCTCTGTGCAAACTGTAGGCTAGGCACTAGTGACCCTTGGCACTAAGCTGAGAGTAGAAAAGTCTTCCTTCTGAGCCCATGAGGTGCTTCCAGGTGACAGAAGGGCAGGCTCACTCACGTGGTAACATCCCCACTGGTGTGGGACCCTGTGTTCCCAAGCCAACTTGCTTCAGTACACTCCAGCTAAAGCCGGGCTTGGTTCTCAGGAGGGTCCTAAGGCCAGAACCTCCCAGGGTCCCGTTGAGGCTTTGTTGGGTATACACGGGCTCAGTGCAGTAAGAGGGAGAGCCTGTCAAAACTGCAACAAAACCCAGTAGACCTGGTGACTCTGCCTCAAGGAAGACAGGGCAAGACACAGAGAACAGAGACCAGAACAGGGAGCAGGGCAGAGAGAAGGGGACAGAGCAAAAGGGACAAAGGGGGACAGAAGAGGACAGAGGAGGACACAGCAAGACAGAATTCTTGGTGTAACAGTTACTCTTCCCTGATCCCAGCCACTGCTAGGGTGTTCACCATGAGAATCTCTGGTGTGTAGACACTGAGTGCCAGGCAAAACTGAATTTCCATGATGGGTGTCAGCTTGCTTTGTGTCAGAAAACACACACTAGTTGACTGTTTTGTGTTTCATTATAATCATCACAATCGTTATTGTCTGCTTTGTTTTGTTGAGGCAGGATTTTGCTATATAACCCAGGCTTGCCTTTAACCCACAGCAATCCTCCTGCTTCAATCTCCCAAGTGCTGGGACCACAGGAGTGTCTGTGTGTGCTTCAAGCCTTTGCACTCGATTTTCCTAGCTGCTGACCGAAAACGAGACATGGTGACTGACCTGCACAGCATCCATCCTACCTACCCACATCAGCCCAGCATGGAGGTCAAGCTGGTCTCAAAGATTGATCACTATAGCATTATAACCCCTGACACTAAGTTTGGAACTGCCTGCTGGATCTAGCAGGAGCAGCTAGCTGGGCTCCTTCTTTGAAGAAGGAGTTACTCTAATAACAAGGAAACATCATTCGGTCTGGGTGGTCACCCAGCTTGGAAAGGAAGACAGCAGAAGGGAAAAGGGAGGGCTGAGGAGAAACCATAAAGGGCCACAGTCCTTGCACACCTGAATACAGCCATGCTTGAAGGCCTGCTCCTGACATTTCCAGAGATGGAAAGAGTAGGTCGCCTTTCCGTTTCCTTGCCACTGCGCTACCGCTGGACTGGGCGGCCCCGGGGCTCCAGGCACTCACAGGTGAGCTCCGAGGTCACCTGTGCAGGCTCTGGGCTGACCTGATCTGTCATGATGCACTGTGCTGGGCATGCGCTACACAGCTGTGTAAGACCAGAGCCAGGCGAGGTCCAGAGTCCTTGCAAGGGCTGGAGGGTTGGGGTGCTTCGCAACAGCTTCCCGCTCCACCCGCTGATTGGCCTTCAATCAGCCAATCAGGAATTGTTGTATTGGTCTTGCACTGAGCTGACAGCTGATTGGCTATTCGCAGTGGAGGCTGATGGGAACCATGGGACAGAGTGGCCTCTGGACACTTGGCTCGCGCACCCTTTGCTCTCGTCGCCTGAGCTGACGTGGAGCCCGAGACCACTCACCATTTCCTGTGGATGGTCCTGTGCGCGCGCGAGGCACCCAGGTCCCGGTCCCGACCCCGATTCCCTGAAAAGAGACATTCCCTCTGAGGGTCCCTGATCATATCTGGGACTCAAGTCCACCCAAAGTCATTCGTTATCAAATTGGGTGGCAGCTTGGTGACCCTGAACACGCACCCATCAGATGTGCACCGATTGTAACTTTAAAGGAAATGTTTCCATCCAGGGCTTTGGTGCGCTTGGGGCCAGTGAGATAGATGGCTCGGCAGACTAGGACACCTGCTGCCTGAGTTAGATCCCAGAACTCACATGGTGGGAGGCGAGTACTTCTGCAAGTTGTTCTCTAACAACCATAGGTATACCACACACATCTCACTCACCTACCCCGAAACACCCCCACAGAATGGGAGAAAACCTTATCCAGCCATACTTCAGGCAAGGGTTAAAATCCAGAATTGACAAAGAACTGCGAAAGTTAAACACCAAGGAAACAAAGCTGCCCATCAGCAAATGGGCAGTTGAAAGGAAGAGACTCCTGCTAGATGGCTCCTTCCAGCCCAGTCTCAGGACTGCCCTTAGCAAAAGAAGAGAATGTGGACATTTGCTGTCACTCCCTACAGTCACCCTCTGGCCCTGTGGATCTAGTCCCTGGGCCTTCCTTCTCATCGGTTTGCTGAGTCGCCTTCCCATAAAGAAGGGTCTGATACTAGAGGATTCCAAATTGAAGCGAGCTCTTCCCAGCAACTCTCTGACAGCTACATCCACCAAGGGGGTGCTTGTCCCATGGCCCCTAGGCCTCACACTTCTGCAGCTGTGACACAGACCAATGGCAGCCCATAGCTGGCTCAATCAGAGATCTAGTGGGCTGGAGTGGGCACACCAGCTTCCCCCACATGCAGGTATGTTGGCCGATGCAGTAGCATGCTGGGCCTGGGCTAATAAACAATAGGAAGCAACTCAACAAAAAGAAAATTCTGAGAATGTGAGAAAGGAGAAGGATGGTCACCACAGCCATGCTGGATGGCAGAGCAAGCTCACAGACGAGGTGTCCAAGTTGCAGAAAAAGATGTCATCCTAGCTGCTCAGGAGGTCAAGCACAGAAACTATTTGAGAGTATGAGGACTGCCAGGAACTCCAGGTCTACAGAGTAACCATGTCTTGAAAGAAAGAGAGGGGGAGAGGGAGATAAAAGAGAGGGGAAGGAAGGAAGGGAAGGAAGGAAGGAAGGAAGAAAGGAAGGAAGGAAGGAAGGAAAGAAAACAAAATGCTAGGAACACATTCCCTTGCTGGGAACACTTTGCAGGTCTTTCAGGCTGGACTTTGGGGGATTCTAGGGCAAGTTCACCCCTGTGTCAATGACCAGTGTCAGTTTACATTTCTTCTTCTTCTTCTTCTTCTTCTTCTTCTTCTTCTTCTTCTTCTCCTTCTTCTTCTTCTTTTCTTCTTCTTTCCTTCTTCTTCTTCTTTTCTTCTTCTTTTCTTCTTCTTCTTCTTCTTCTTCTTCTTCTTCTTCTTCTTCTTCTTCTCCTTCTCCTTCTTCTCCTTCTCCTTCTTCTTCTCCTTCTTTTTAAATTTAAGGTAAGTTTTGGGTTTGTTTTTGTTGTTGTTGTTTTGGTTTTTTGAGACAGGGTTTTTCTGTGTAACCTTGGCTGTCCTAAAACTAGCTGTGTAGACCAGGCTGGCCTCAAACTCATGGAGATTCACCTGCCTCTGCCTCCTGAGTGCTGGCTTTAGAGGTGTGTGCCACCCCAGGCCCGCTCAGTTTACATTTGTCTGGTGCCCTTGCTATAGGAGGATCTTAGCTTCTTGCTCTGACTGTGGTATTGTGACCATCCCAGGGGTAGACACTCTGAGCTCTGCTGTCTTGGCCCTTACCTTTTCCTCTTGGGGTCACTGGTATCATCGCCACCCTTCCCTCCCTGTCTCCAATGGTGACACGTCCCAGTTCTTTCAGTGGCTGTGCCTGGTCTTCCTTCACTCCATCCTCTCCCAGTATTCTGTGGGATGTGGTATCACCATCATCTTCTTCACTGTCATCAGAGCAGGAAAGGGAAGAAGCCCACACAGGCTCTGATAGCTTGCTACTTCCCAAATGCCTGTCACCCTACACCCATGGCCCTAGGACTCCCTGTGAAATATCTTCAAGAAGCAGCCCCCTACTTGCCTGTGCACCCTCTGTGTCCCCCACAACCATGGTGCTCTGAGGGAGCTGGACTTCCAATGGAACTGTGGAATGCTGGGAACAGAAGCTCCACGGTGATGATAAGACAGGCCATCCCTCTCATGCAGTCCTTGTCCCCTGTTGACTCCAGAAGGGCAGCGTAGGCCCAAGGACTGCAGAAATGGAGAGGAATGAAGTCTACTGTGGTAGGCTGAGGGTGTGTAGAGCTCCGTGGTGACTTCTGAGTGATCATCTTCAAAAGGTCCACCCATCATCACAGGACTCCAGTAGATGCTTTGTTGAGCCAGCAGCAGCTGTTCTGACCTGGTATCAACTGAATGACCCAGCAGCTCCATGCAGCAGGCTCCAGAGATCATCCACAGACTGGAGGACCCAGGCAGCAACCCATCATAGCCCCACTGATGCACAGGCAAGTGAGTCAGCCTAACGGTCGGTCATCTCTCCTCTCAGCTCTGACCCACAGCCAACCCTTCCTAGCTCCTCACCCATACCTCCAGGCCTCATAGCAGCGGCTTCAGTGCCTGTCATACCTGTAGGCCATTCTCCGCAAGGCAGCCAGAGTATATTCTCATCCTGTTCGGGGGTCTCTATGGGGCTCAGAGAGCCACAGTCCTTATCATGGCCTCCAGGGCCGTAGTTAATGTGGCGCGCACACACACATGCATCCTTGTGCAAACAGCCACACACACACAGACTCCACCCACTAGGCAGCTCAGCCTCCTCTCCTGATGCGACACTCCTTGCTGCTCCACAGTGCCATGTAATTCCTTTGTTAAACCACCTCCGCCCTCAGCCCAAGTTGCTCTTCCTGTCACCAGCTATCTGTGGGCTTCACTTCTTAGGGTCAACAGAAGAGGCCTCACTAAAAGCTAACTGGGAAAGACAGAGTGTGAGTTCAGATGATGGAGATGGAGGTGATAACAGCTAAAGTTTGTAGGTGCTGGGCACTACCTACATTTCTTTCCCAGAGTCACCTCTTCGGTGACACTGAAGGACAGAGGCTTGCAGTCAGGAAAGTGAGTTCTCAGCACCCAGGCTGATCTTCCTGGGACCCATAAGAGCAAAGATTTTATCGCCAGGCTGCCAGGTATGCATTCTCTGCAAGATGGCAGGGCCATGGCCCAGCTCAGGTCAGCTACCGGCCCATATGGAGACTGTCCCCAGTCTCCAACCCCAGGGTTCCTTCCCTACCCAGCTGGTTCCTTGTGTCCTCTTCCTCCATCCCACTCTTCTTCTCTGGTGTTTTCGGCAGGGACAGTGCAGAGGCCTTGCACAAACATCTAATTGTGCATGGCCATTATTCGGGTGTGCACACCTTGGCCATTAATGAGTGTGCACCACTGCAGCCTGTAAGGCTAACTGGGCTAGAAATGCCCAGGGACAATGAGGGGCTGCAAGGCTAGGGGACAGCACACTCTCATCCTGTACTGGTTGGAAAGCAAAATGATGCAGCCACTATCAGACCTAGGCAGGGTTTGGGGTTTTTTAAAGTATTTATCTTACGTGTATTTCTGTTTGCCTGCATGTATGTATGTATGCACAATATGCTTGCAGTGCCCATAGTGCTGGAAGAAGGCATTAGAGCCCCTGAAACTGGAGTTATAGATGGTTGTCAGCTGCCATGTGGGTGCTGGAAACAAAACCCAGGTCCTCTTAAAGAGCAACTAGTTCTTGTAACCAGTGAGTCACATCTCCAGCCCTGGGCAGGTGCTTAAGACTGTGATCCCACAGTACCTCTCCCTCTCTGGAAATCCTATCCATTCAAAAGATATACCAAGGTATATGTGACTATTCCTAAAACATCCAACTGCAACCAACCCAAGGTCCACTAACAGGAGAGACACAAACTACGAGGTGCACACCAGAGTCCTCAGCCACGCAGAGGTGTGTCAGGTGTATCAGGGTGGGGGAACCCAACACGGGCAGGTGTGCAGTCTCTCAACAGGCAGATGACTTCCATAGGACAGATGGCTGTAAGTAAACAACCCAATCTGCCCCTTTGAAGTATAAAGCACAGACAGATAACAGCTCGTACTATTAGGCTTCTGTAGGATGTGCAGGTGTGGTGGTACACACCTGTAATCCCAGCACTCACAAGACTGAAGCAGCAGGAGCGTGGGTTTCAAGCCAGCCTCATCTGTGTAGAGACATGCTGTCTCATATATACACAGACATTCATATTCCCCATGGAAGCACTTGTTAAAAAAAAAAAAAAAAAGTCTAAAATGGCTCCAAAGGAGCCTAACAAGGCTCATCTATTTGAAAAGTTTTCTAGCTCTGTAGCCTTGGGCAAATGATTCATCCCGAGTTTCTGCTTCACCTCTTACCTATATCCACACCACCACATTGTGAGAAGGGACTACTTTACCAGCATTTGGCAAGATTGGGGCTGCAGGGAAGATTTCTCCCTGGCCAGCACCCCTTCCAGGGAACTGCCAGGAGTCTACTACTTGGAAGAATGCAGACAGACAGACACTGGGTTACCAGGTAGGAAGTGGTGGCTGAGGCACCTTGCTGTCCAGATCAAGGTGAAGCAGGACACAAGGTGAAGCAGGACAAGAGGTCAAACATCTTCCCTGTTGGGAAGAGGATGGGGAGTGTCCTCACCGCATAGCAGCTTTCTCTGATGACATAGGAGTCTGCCTTCTCAGGCACTGTGGGCTGCAGTGATCCTGAGCCCCCACTAGAGGTCACACTGCAACCTTTTTTGAAAGAAATGGTTGGAGCATCAGGTTGACAAAAATGCTGTGCCTTGGAGATTGGAGAGCTACCTAGACACCCAAAATCAGTGCCAAGTGACAGATCACGACCCCTCCATGAGCCCCATCTGCAGTTTCAGTTCCAGAAAGCATCCAGCCCTGCACTCATGCCTGGCTGCTGTTTCTCATGGGACAAAAGGCCCAAGTTCAGACTCAGGAAAGAGAAGAGGTAGGGCCACCAGATATTCCGCTTTGAACTATTTCAGACCTGGGCTGTACCTCAGAGATAGGCAACTTACCTAGTGTCACCCCACCCCTGTGAAGACTGTTTCAGAGAGCTGTGTGGAGACACCACACCTGCCATCACCAGACACACCATCCACATGTGGACCTGTGTCTTGTCCGGACAGGCGGACACTAATGGTTCCTGCATCTCCTATACACCTGCAGCAGTGGCTCCTTCCTGGTGCAGTAGAGGCTCAACAGTGCCCAAAAGCAGCAGTAACTGCACACTGTGTGCCTTCCTCTCGTGCTCTCTACTTTTTTAAATAATCAAAATATTTCAATCATAAAGCCAACTCAGACATATACAACATGATTTTTTTAACTTTTATTGATTCTTTGCAGATTACACACCATGCATCCTGATTCCACCCATTTCCCCATCCCCCTGCATCTGCCCTCCACCCTTGCAACCTCCCCCCAAAACAAAAAATTTAAAAGAAAAAACAAAGCAAAACAAACAAAAAAGAAGAATCTCGTTGTGGAAGCTGTAGTGTGCCTGTTAAGACAGGCAGTTTACCTGTTAGTTTTTTTCATCTTCACTTGCAAGTGTTTCATTGCCACGAGCCATTGGTAAGGTTTAAAACCTCTAGCTGCTGCTACACCATCAATAATGGGCTCTTAAGGGAGTTTCTCTCGATACTCTGTTGTCCTGTCATACAGACCCTGCAGCTTTGGTCCTGTGGGTCCATCCCCTTCACATGCTCCAACAGTTCATAGTGACAGGGATGTTGGGGTGGGCTAACACTCAGCCCTGGTTCTGGGCCTGGCTGGTAGCCGTGTTTGTCAGCCTGCCAGCTTTCCCTCATCTTCACTATCCAGGTGAGCGCTCCAGCACTGCCTTGGCCAAGGCAGTCTGCAGCAGTGGGCGGGGTCAGTTCTTTTGCTCAGGCACTCCGGTCCAAGGCCAGCAAGGTACAGGGCCTTCTCTCTTGATTGCCGTAGGGAGCATACTGGGTGGCAGGGCCAGCTCACCTGAGCCACTGACAATAGGGTTAGCTCCAGTGTGCTCCCCTGTCAGGGTGCAGGGTCTATTCCTGTGTGCTGCAGTGATGAGGGGCAGGGTCCCTCGCCCATGCCCCCACATGGCAGATGAGGGTGGAGGGTCAGCTCTGCTGTTCTCGTGCCCTCAGAGCCAGCTCACCCGCATCTCCAGCAACAGGTTCATCTCTAGTGTGCTGTCCAGGTGAGGTGCACACACATGGTGAGGGTGGGGCCATTTTTCCTAATTGCAGGGGGCCAGCTCTCCCAAGACCAGAGAGGGGTGGCACAAGCTCAGCACGGCCATTGAATTTCATCACTCTTGGTTCCCATAACTCCCCACCCCCACTCCACCATAGTAACATGAGCCATGGATATCAACCCAGACCCCAGCCGCAGCAGGACCACAGACCTGTACATGGCCCTCAGCAGCAGCACGGGCCACTCAGATCAGCATAGCCCTGGCAGCAGCAAAAGCTGAAGCTTTGCTTTGGATCAGTGTAGGGGGCTGGAGAGATGGATCAGCAGCTAAGAGCACTGGCTGCTCTTCCGGAGGACCTGAGTTCAAGTTCTAACACCCACATGGCATTTCAAAATCATCTGTAACTCTAGTGTTAGGGGAGCTGATATCTGAATTCTTCAGGCACCAGACATGTAAGCGATGCACACATACAAGAAAAACGTGTGTGTGTGTGCGCGCGCGCGCGTATGTGTGTCTTTGTGTGATGTACAGCCCCAGCCACCTCTCCATCTTAAAACACCCAAAGAAATAAATCACAAGGCCCACGAAAAGGCTTCAAAAACAGGTTTACTAAAAACTGAAAGGTGAAACAACCGCACATCCCAGGTGACTGTCACAGGTGACATCAGACACCAGGCACACAGCAGCTACTTTTTCAGGGTCCTTCCCTGACCCTTAGGCAAAGCTGAGCTGACCTGAGAAGGCTTTTTAAGAGCTACCCTCTGTCCAGAGCTTGGAGGCGCTGCAGGTAAGCCACATTTTCCAAACAGGCTCGTGAGCACAAGTAATTGGGCTGAAAGAGTACATTATGGCGGATTTTGTTGGTCTCCATGCAAACACAAAGGATTCAGCCAAGGAAACTGTCCTGAGGGTGCCTTCAGTGTCCTACCCACCACTAAACCCCTCTGGAGGTTGGCCATACAGGCCAAGGGGCTGTGAATACCAGTGCCTCATTCACAAGTTCTAAACCATGCCCTCCTGTTTACAGCTTCTCCAAGGAGACATCTCTCCCGCTCTTCCCCAGAACCACAGACTTGGTCTATAACAGCAAATGGCTGGTAATGGCCTGAGGATGAGGAGGTATACACTCTTCCCAATTAGGATAAAAGGAGGGGAGCAGAAGAAGATGCTCTGGCCAGCAGGTGTCCTGACAGCTGAGGATGGTTCCTCTCCACAAGTACTAAAAAGTGAACATACGTTGGGTAGTATGTTGTTCCCAGCAAGCCTGGCAACCAAAGAGCCACTGGAGGGCTGGGATAGACAGCCAGCAGCTGGGGAGGAGCCCTGGCTGCCTAGCCACAGCAGTGCTCAGCTCCCAAGTTGGTGAAGGAACAAGGCTAACAAGCAAGTGCCTCGAAGTTCACTGCATGATGTGTGGAAGGACTGGCTGGCACAGCACATGGCCAGAAGCCACCAAGCACCCACTCTATTAGTAGACATGCGGCGACAGGGAGGACCCAGGAGGAGGTAATGGGATGCTGCAGAACTGACAGCCCAGAGCAGAGGGGCCCAGGGTCTGAACACATGCCAGAGGAGCACAAGGGGAGTCTAGGACTCCCAGCACTGGGCTCCCAAAGACAGACTGCAAATGTTAGAAGTCTGAGAAATGGCAGCCAATGCCCTGACACTACATCAGGGCTGAACACAACAGGGCCTAAACAGGTATCAGCAACATTCTCATGCAAAAGAATTGTCCCCACTAGAAAACTTCCTGAGGTTTGTGCCTGACATCAACCACACACAGCAGAGCAGGTCAACTGTGCAAACCCACAGGAGGCCTTCTCTCTGACTTCCACAGACTACACGGCCTATGAAGCAAAATGACAAGGCCAGCCAACAGTATTCACATGGGAAGGCTCAGAGACAAAAGATGCCTACCTGCCACCTATAGAGAGTACCTGGGCCTGAGTGTTCCCTACATTAGGCAGTACTATCTTACATACATCCAACAGTTCAACACTCACCTGCAGCAAATGTGGCGTATGTTTAGGAAAGCCAATGTGTGGTTGGCTAATATGTCTGATTGCCCCTACTCAACTGAAACTGGCTGAGGACACTTGATAAAGTTCTGAACTACAGCATCACCACAGCAAGCCTTGGGGCCTGGGTAAAATGTATTCTTGATTTTCTCCAAGCACAGTGAAACCAGAAGAGCAGCCACCTGCATGACCAGCTGTCCGGTATTCATTGTTCCAGCAGCTTCATAGTCACAGTCCCCACTGTCCAGAGCCTGCCTCATTTGGCACAATAGAAACACTCTAACAAAGGAAGTAACAAAAGGCTGGGACTCAATCCTGCAAAAGATGCTAGAGATCAGGACACAGCCCTGGCAGCTCACTGCAGGTTCTGTTACTGCACCTGACAGAAAGGCAGCATCTCAAAACCAGTTCACAAGGGTCTTTTGCCACACTACCTCCCAAGTATGCAGACCCTTCTGACAGGAAGGGCCTGCCATTGTAAGGGAGGATATGGCTGCAACCTTTCTAAGGTCTCACCAGTAGGATGAGTTCTGAACACAAGTACAAGGGCTTGGAGCGGCTTCTGGAGATGAGCAGCCAAGGGGGAAAGACAGCCTAGAAGTCTGTCCGACACTAGAAGTGCTGGCAGGAGTTGCCAAACGTCTGAGACCTTGGTCTCTGCCCTTTAGGAGACACTAAGGTTGGCCTCAAAAAGAGTTCCCAAATACAGACATTATTAGAATGGCCCAGCACTCAGGGTCTCTGACCAGGTGAGTCCTCAAATAACAATGTTCCTAAGTGCACTGCCACACAGAAGTATGACTATCTAAGGAGCTGCCCCCTCCCTTTGGCCTATGAAGGGCTTCACAAACATCTCTGCTGTGTCCAGTCAAGGCAGGCCCTATAAGCAAACAAGTGGGGCCAGCTCTCCAGTGTTTGTGTGGAGGACCAAAGAACTGTGTGTGCTGCTGGGCACAAGCAAGTGGCTGGCCTGACCGCTTGGTTCTAACACTGGAGCAGGTGTGACACAGAGGACACCAGGGGGCTAGGATGGAGATGCAGTGATACTCCTTGGTGGCTCCTCTCAGCCAGGACAAGAAAACAGGTCATGGTAGAATGCCCTTGACTGAGCAAGTTGGGGAGGAAATGGAAACCATCTGGCTTCCCTGTGTCTGATACTCCACCAACTCCACTGAAGCTACCTCCCAGCAGTAACTGTTTATGTCATCCAAGGGGACATGGGCAGCAAAACACCTTCCATGATCCATGGTGGTTGTGTCTTAGCCCTCTCTGGCTGGCATCTCCTGACTCCACCCTTCCTCATTCGCTTTCTCCAGAGAACCTGTATGCATCCATTTGATTCTCCGTGCAATAGCCACTAGCTTGCCAGATTCACGCTGGCTCAACTATTTTCCCCACCATATTTAACACTCTCCTTCACAGCTACCGACAAATCAAATATACAAGAGTATGTTACACACTATACAAAAAGTGTCTCGGAGCAACCAGGACCCTAGTGAGGAGGTGTGCGTTCATTTCCCAAGTGCATGCTTCCCCCACCCTGGGCCCCAGTGCAGCCTCTCTGCCCACGTGGAGGTCAGGAGGTAAGAGACTGGATGTTCCTGAGCATCTCATCAAAGGCCTGTGGCGATGGTGCATCAGCATTCTGGAAGGTGGCCTGGACCCGGCTGTACAAGCTAAAGGACTTCAGTTCCAGCCAGAGAAACCCAAAGCGGTCCTCATCAAACAGGACGAAGACGCCAGGAGTGCGCTCAGGACTGGTAAAGCCATGGCCAGCGATGAGGCCTGTGCCGTAGAAACTAGAAAGACAAGAGAGCAAGCCATCAGAAGATGCACAGCCATTTCCATAGCTCCCACCCACACCACAGCAATCAACAGGTAAGCAATGCTGGAGGAGGGCCTCACCTTACAGGGTCAGGATCAGGTTCCAGACTGAACTCTGCTAAGAACATGGGAACTCTGAGGGATCTGAGCCACTTAGGTAGTCTGTGTGCAAGCAAGCAAGATTTGCCTATTTGTGGCCCAGATTACATTGTGGCAACTGAAGTAACTCATCTTTTGGGCCACTGGGGGGCAAGGCTTTGCAGTCTATGCCACCTGAAGTGGTCCCACTCGGAAATCCCACCTTAACGCCCTTCTAGAAAGGGTGTTTTGTTTGATCTACAGTGTTGTGTGTCTCACCCCACACCACCCCCTGGCTCAGGGTTTGAATGCTGCTGTTCTGGAAGACTGGAGCCCTCAGCAGGTAGGGCCTAGCTGTAGGAAGGAGTTTACTGGAGGCAGCCAGATCCCCATCTCTGGGCTATATTCTGCTCCCTGATCTACATGTGACCTGCTTTTGCCACACACTTGCAGCGGAAACACAGCCCAGCCCCCTCCCCTCTCACCACAACCACCACCACAGTAGCTGAAACCATGAGCCGAAAACAGACCTTGAGCCAACAAGATGGCTCAATGGGTAAAGGCACTCGCTGTGAAGCCTGACAACCTGAGTTCAATCCCTGGAACCCACACAAAGGTAGCAGAGAACTGACTCCACACAGTTAGTTGTCCTCTGACCACCACATGCACCCCTCCCCCACCTCCACATAACAAAACATCTACAAACAGACTTGGAAGCTATGAGGCACAGGTCCCTCCAGCCTCCCAGAAGCACCCAAAACTGTGCTGGCTGAGAGCTGGGCCCTTGGTCCTCACCAGAGCCGGCAAGTGCGGGGATAGTCCTCATTCCTCGAGCTGACACCCACGGGCAACACAAATGGCTGCCCTTGTCCAGATGAGGCCGACTGCTCGGCTGCCTCAGCTCCACTGCCTGGCTCTTTGCTGTCCTCAGCAGGTGGCCCATCAGGGCCCTTGGCTGAAGGCTCCCGGGGTGGGACAGGGTCCTCGCCAGCCTCCTGCTGCTCCTGCCGCACCTGCTCTCGGACCTCCAGGACAATCCTGGAGAGCTCGTTGAAGTTGCGGAGGTTCTCCACATCCGGCAGCTGGATGCGGCGATGCAGGTCAATCTCCACAGTCTGCTGCCCTGCAGGGATGTTGGGGTCGCCCTGCAGAGAAGACAGGTGGCAGTAAGCAAGGCTGAGAGATACTCTGAAAGCTCCCTGCCTGCAGAGCATGCTCAAGCTCTGCCAGGTTTTGCAGCAGGTATGACAAGGTGCGGAGTCTGAAGGCTTCCTTAACAAATCAGCTCCCAAAATGGCCATGGCAAGAATGAGTGACATGTGATGTCCACTGGGGGTACAGGCCCACACAGTTGCTCACCTCTGCCATGAGATCCAACTTGTGAGGCATGTGAACCCTCCCAGGGTCTGGCGGAAAGCAGGCTAGAAGCTCAACTCAGGCTGGTGTGCCTGGAACAGTTTCTGAGCCTGACTGGAGGAAGGTCCCACCTCATCCACCCAGTCATTCTGTGGTGGGATGTTAAAACCTACCACAGGGGAGGAGTCTGACATCAGCAAAGACCCTGGTTCTTGATCCTACCCTGATTTGTATGGAGTTTCTTCCCCCAGAAGCACCTGATGGAGGCTTTGCTGCTCAGGACACAGTAGTACCATCTAAAACCCACCTCCCAGAACTCAATGACAGGTGAGCGGTGGCAAAGTGGCCTTGGCAAGGAGCAGCCACGTATGCAGACAGCTACTCAGAACTCAGAAAGCATGGCTTTATCTGAGGCTCAGAGCCCCCAGCCCAGACCACAACAGTGAGCAAACTACATGAGCATGAGCTGTGTGTGAGGCTGCATGAGGATGTTCGCTAGGCAGCCTGGGGTCCCTTTTCCAAGTCCTGCTCATTCAGAACCTAGGAAGTTTGGGTCACCAGTGCTGGAGAGCCTGAACATCAGCATGCCCAGCACTCGCAGGGTCCTTGTTTGCTGACTCCTCATGGTGGACTCATGCCTGCCCAGCACCGTTCACAGTGACTGTGAGGCAATGGTACAGCTCACCGTGATCTTGGTACCCCTGGCACGTGAGCCGTGGAAGCTGAGCATCACAATTTCTAGGCCGTGGCTGCCATAGGTGCCCTTAAAGAGGCCTGGCTTGATGAGGTCATCAGGATGGCTGGGAGGGAGGTAGATCCGGCGGTAGGTCAGGCAGTTGCTGCAGAGGCATGGATTGAAGAAACAAGGGATTCAGCTTGACTGGATAGGTCCTCCATGCCTAGGCAGCCCCTTGGCTAAGCTACTCGCTCCAGTCCTTGAGCACAGCACTCCTGGCACCAATATGTACCTTCAGGGCCTAGCAAAGCAAGCCCATGAGTACAGCCAGCTCACTATTACCCTCAGGAAAGGACCTTATAGCCATAATACTATGAGGGATCATGGCCCGGCATGAAGCCAGAGGCCACGGGGAGGCTAAGATTCGGCTTCCTAGGGCCACCTGGCTTAAGCACACACTGGCCACTTGACGCCTATACTAACTAGGGTGACAAAGACCACACCACAGTAGGGGTGAAGGATAGGGGTGTGCTCACAGCACCCACAGAGAATGGGGACCTGCAATACTCATACTTTCAGAAAGGGGAACTAAGTCCACAGTACCCACACAGACAAGGGAGAATGGAATTCACAGTATCACAGAAGGGAAACAACTATGTTCACAGTACCCAGAAAGGGGAGACTGCCTGCATAGTACCCACAGAATGGGAACAGCATAGTCCCCCTAGAGGCAGGCCACACTCATGAAGAGAGAGAGCTGTACTCACATCTATGCTGAGGTACACCACTTTCACAGTACCAAGGGACTGCACTCACGACTCACTCGTACTGACTGGTGTAGATGAACTTCATCAGAATCAGCTCCTGCATGTGCTCATGGAAGATGTCTTCCAGCGTGCGGCCCCACTCCTCCCTCAGCCACGTCCGAAACTCCTTCAGAGAACAAGGGCATGGGAGTCACCAAAATGGAAGGAGAGAGGTTGCTATAGGATGCTGACTGAATACTTCCAAGCCGAATGGGCTTCCTAGTGGGTAGGTATGAACAGGAGCTGGTGAGCACCTGGGACGGGGGTCTGAGGACAGTCTACCTGTGAAGAGCACAGGGTCCTCGCCTTCCCAGGGCAGACTCCCAAGACAGCAGAAAGGTCACAGGGTTCCCTCAAGTAAGGCTGGGGCCAGAGCCCCTGTCCTAGGTAACAGCACCTTACCGTGGCCATAGTGGGAGACTGACCCAAGACCTGAAGTACCTGAAGAGCGCAGGTGCAGCAGAGCCCTATCCTAACCCCCACCAATGAGAAACCGCCCCTGCTCACCCAGGACAGGTAGTAACTCAGGTGGCCCCTGCTCACCCAGGACAGGACAGACCCTGATCAGGACAACCTGCTCAAAGGTTTGATTCTACAAAATCAACATAGGCTTCCAAACCTGACCTGGCATTTCCACGAGCTCCACAAATGGAGGCAGAAGCAATTTACAAAATTAAGAAAAGCTACAATCGGCCAGGCAGTGGTGCACGCCTTTAACCTCAGCATTCAGGAAGCAGAGGCAGGCAGATCTCTAGGAGTTGGAGGCCAGCTTGATCTACAGAGAAAGTTCCAAGACAGGCTCCAAAGCTACAGAGAAACCCTATCTCAAAAAAACAACAAACAAAAAATTGGAAAAGCTACACTCTTGGATGGGTTTCTTTAACATGTCACTGCAGAAACCCAAAAGCCACTGCAGGGTCCAAAGGAAGCCAGAGACATATCTTACAAATTTCTATTTCCAGCATCCTCACAAAGTAGCGCTTGTAAACACCATGTGTATAGGGCCACTACTGCACAAGTCACAGAACAAAACTGACCAAAGGCAAGGCCTGAAGGGAAAGTCAGGCATGCTGTCTAAAACCACCTGACACTCCGCCCTGTCAAGACTGCAAACTGATCTCTAGGTCCAACACCTCAGACACAAGCTCACCACACACCACACCAAGAACCCGGAGAGCCTATGCTGGAACCATACAGAAACACAAAGAATCCAGACACACAGAAAATGGGAAAATGCCAAGGGCCCTCAACACAATTCAGCCACAGACATGAGTGCTCTATGGCATGAGGACCAGCAGGTGGGTCCCTGGAATTATAGGACAAACAGGAACACAATCTGGCCCATTTTCAACAAGGATGTCCAAGCTCTGACCAGGGGGAAAACCTTCAACAAACAGAGCCGCCCCTTACTCACACAATACACTCAAGAGGCAACAGACATATGAGCACAATTTCTACCCCAACACTGAGGAGAGGGGCCAAGACACTAACAGACCTCTATGCCTCTGTTTAAAGAGGAAGGGAAGACGGTCTACAAGCTGGGGGTAAGGCTTTTGAAATCCCCCAAAAAGTGTTTTAAAATTAGGCCCCACTGGAATTACATCCTTCATGCTAAAGAGATGCTCAGCATTTCCTACTCTTCCAGATGACCTGAGTTCAGTTCCCAGCACCCACACCTAGCAGCTCACAATGACCTATATAACTCCAGATCCAGGTGATTTGACACTCTCTCCTGGACTCTTCTGACAAAAATTCACAAAGTGTGTGTGCACTCCCACACACACAAAGGTAGATTCTGGAGGCCAGCTTGATCTACTGCATAGTGAACTCTAGGATAGCCAGGCCAACTGAATAAAAACCTGTCCCAATCTCAAAACTAAACCCTTTATCACAGTGGCTGTTCTTGTGGAGGAAATGTTTCTCGTAAAAACCAAATATGTAACAGACAAAAGCAACCGAATGGGAGCAACAAAGACTTCATCAGCATCATGCTGAGCTTACTGTGCTGACCACCACAGGGGCTGACCTAGGAGGGGTCACTAGGAAGCCCCAGCCCACTGCTAAAAGCCAAGTTCTGACGAAGTGTGATCATCAGTCAGCACAGCAAGGCAAGCCCCAGCTACACAAGGACAGCACCAGGGCCTGGAACAGAGCTCAGGAGTGACGTTCATGTCCATCCAAGGGACACACTGTGCCTGGCACTCAGCAATCACCATTCCTGGGAGATGGCCAAGGGTGATGACATGGCCATGCTTCCTCTCTCCCCAAACCTCTGCTCTTCCCAGTGCTCTCATCTCCAAAGGCCTCTGTCTGCAGGAAAGGGGGGTGGCTAGGTAAGAAAGGGGAAGGAAGCTGGCTTAGCTGCTATAAAGAAAAGCTCAGGCAGTGCCTGTGGACATCTGGGATGGACACGCCTGTCTGGGTTGTGGGTAGGGATCTGCATTTGTTACCAGAGCTCAGAGCCAAGGAAACCCAGAACTTACAATCACAGGATGTCTCTGGCCTCGTTCCTAAGGAGACAACCCACTCCCAGTAAAGCACCTGCTCGCCACTTCAGCCAGGAGCACACTACATTTGTAATCGGGAAAAGGCCTCCCTTCAAGGCCAGGGAGCCTGCAGAATCCCTTGAATCCCATCACACATTTCCAGAAACTGAACCCATGACCTCTAAGGACTTAACAGCTGAGAGCCACATAAATGAGAGCTCCATCAATCTCTCAGGGGCAGCAAGTCAAGACTGCAGGAAAGCAGACTGATGACAGAGTTAGGGCAGGGACCCCACCGAGTACAAGCACTGCCCACTGCATTCTCCTGAGTCTCTGGCCACTGGGAACCCTGAACTCAGAAGCTGACTACAGACGTACAGCCGTCATAAACAGCTCCAACAGACACCCACATGCAACAATCCCAAGTTCTCCTTAATGGGAGAATGACTTAGCTGCTCAAAAATCAAACAAGAAAAACCTCAAAAGCAACATAAACTCACTTGTGCAAGTGGCAACAAGCCAAGCACACACTGGCATTCACTGTGCTGCCATGATCTAGAAACCCAGGCCACCAGGTTCCCTGAGTGGAGAAAACAGCCCTGAACAGCCCTGGGTTGGGGGCGAGGGTGCTGAACTGCTTATCCAGACATAGCTTCTAGCAGTCTAAGTGGGTGGGTTTCCACCATAATGTGCGGGAGAGTGCAGGGAGTGAGTGATTCAGACTGCTCGGGGAACATAAGCTGTGCTCATGCACATGTCCACATGGATGTTTCTGTAAGGTGGACAGACGGGGTTAGGTGACTGCTGCACCGCAGTGATGCTGGTTATGAGATGGCAATTCCAAGTGACGGATCCTCCCATGACTCTACTTCACCCAACAGGAGGTCAGGCCAGTGCCCATGAGAAGACAGCCAAGCATGCAAACATCTTTCCACAGCCTCCCTCCTAGACTCCAAGACTCACCTCCTGCCTCCCACCGGACATCCTGTGGTGGTCTGTCTGGTTACACTTGGTGGAGAACTCATCTCTCTTCACGATCTTCAGTGTGACCATGGTCAGAAAAGAACCAGGAAAAATAATGAGTCCCAGTGTCCACCACCCTCCCCACCAAACCCACTAGGGCCCAACTATGTCAAGTCTGGTGGTATAAGTCTGTAATTCTATCTACTTAAAAGGCTGAGGCAGGGAATTCCAGGTTCTGTCTGAGGGTGAACTCCAAGCCAGGTTGGCAACTCAGCACAACTGTCTCAAAATAAAAGGAGGGCTGGAGGCCAGACAGTGGTGGTGTACACCTTTAATCCCAACACTTGGGAGGCAGAGGCAGGCACATCTCTGTGAGTTCAAGACCAGCCTGGTCTACAGAGCAAGTTCCAGGACAGCCAAGGCTACACAGAGAAACCCTTCCTTGAAAAACAAACAAAGAGAGGGCTGGGGCATGTTACTCAGTGGCAATGAAGAAGGCTGTCAGTGGAATGCATGAGGATCTGAGGTGACACAGGCTCGTAACCTCAGAATTGAGGAGGTAAAGGCAAGTCAATCCCTAGGGCTTGCTAGCCAGTCTAGCATAACTGGCTAACTCCAGGTCACAGCAAGAAATCCTGACTCAATGGGAGGGATGAGGAGTGGAGAGGAAAAGAGGGACAGGGGGACTGGGATTGGAATGTAAAAAAAATAAATTAATTAAAAAAAAAAAAAAAAAAAGGAAGGGGCCAGTAGGCAAAAAAAAAAAAAAAGACACCCTGACTCAAAACAAAAGAGGGACAGCTCATAGGTAACAGTACCTGAGGCTGGTCCCACTGCCACATGGATGCACATACAACATCCACACACAGGTGAATATATGGACACATGCCCCACCCAAATAAATTTTTTGAGGGACTAGTGAGATGGCTTGGCAGGTAAAGGCACTTGTTATGAACTAGCCTGAAGATATGAATTTGATTCCCCAAACCTACATGGTAAGTTGTCCTTTGATCTTCAAATGTACACTGTGACCCAAACACACACACACATACACACAGGTTAATTTGTAATTAAAAGTTTCAAACAAAAAGACCCAAATGTGTTTATAATAGGCCATTGGAAGAAAGACACTCAGAATCCCAAGTCCCTAGCCAGGCAATAGTGGTACGTGCCTTTAATCTCAACACTCAGGAGGCAGAGGCAGGTGGATCTTTGTGAGTTCAAGGCTAACCTGGTCTACAGAGCGAGTTCCAGGACAAGTTCCAAAGCTACAGTGAAACCCTGTCTTAAAAAACCAAACCAAACCAAAAACAAAAAAACAAAAAAAAACAAAAAAAAAAAAAAAAAAACCAACAAAAACATTTCCCAGCAAGTGCACTTCCAGAGGCAGAGGCAGGCATAGCCCTTCCCCCACCAGGGCTCCTGGGAGCAGCAGCAGAGTACAGCATGTGCCCACCAGCCAACAGAAGGGAAGAAACTCGCCTGCAGGGAAAGCAGTAAAGCTCTAAGAAAAAGAAAGTTCCAGTGGGCTCCAGTAACATCCATCTTCACACAGACACACACAGCACAGGGGAGGCCCTTCCTAACTACATTGAACTGGACAAACCACAGCCAGAGCTACAGGTCATGGCAGAATTGACAGGCCATAGCTAAAGGTGCCTTGGCACATGCCTGGCACCCACTAGGGAGGCATGGGGCTGTGACAACCAAAGGAGGACGGCCTTTCACTGCCCATGCCAGTCACATCACAGGGGACCTAGCTCTCCTCTACCTGGATGTGGCCGTTGTGGGGCCCTTTGTGGCCGTACATACACTCCACCGTGGCTGACTTCCTCTCCATTAGGTGAATTCTAAACAGTGGCTTGAATCGCATGGGGTCACCAACATGGGGGTCATGAGGAGGCAGGTACATCCAGCCGATGATGAACAGGCCATCCACCTGCAGTGAGGAGACAGTGGGCACACCAGGCAGGGTTGTTCTCTCCTTCGCCAACAACTGCACATCAGAGCCTGTGGCTGCAGACATGAGCCTACAACCTCCGCATCTATGAGGGCCCTATTGTTGCTTGAGTGTCTTAAACAGTCCAGGAGCACAGCCAGCTAGCTAATGGACCTCTTACAACAAATCTTTGTTCACCTGGAAAGTAACATCTGGCCCTGAAAGGAAACCCTAGGGGCGGCTTTTCAATCTCCTCTACTGAGCCAAGAAACGGCACTGCGCTCTCCAGTGTGGGCACCTCCTACACACAAGAACCACCATGAGGCTCCCACTCACCACCACGTTCAGGAGTCCTCCATACGGCCCGATGTCTGGCTGCCACAACCCCAAAATGTGTCTGTATCGGTGAAGCACTGTGGGGAGAGAAGGGGCACTATTACCCAGCATGCTCCACTCACCCAGTATGCTTCTGGGGCACAGGAAACCCCTGCACCATGAGCCACTAAAGATGACAGTCCAACCTGTGCCTGTCACCATGGCCATAACTTCTGCATAACTGCTGCTCAGAGTGAAAATGGATGAATCAGGGTGCTTCTGACAGTTCTGTGCATGAGTATGGGGTCTCAAGGCCATAGAGTCACAGATGGCTACTGAGCACAGCTCACACTCAGGCAGGACCACAAAGGGATAGGCATCAGAGACCTTGGCCTGGGGTGCAGGGGCCTAGCCTTTGGACACTGAAACATTGCTACCACCTCCAGACCCAGGCCAAGACCATCACAAAGGGTTCACAGGTGTGGGTCACCTACCCAGGGTCACCTCAGGCTCTCTGACTTTTGGAAACAGTGAAGCAGCCATACCTGAGCTACTGACAAACAGCTCAGAAACACATCAGAACTCAACACAGGAAAGAACTCAGAAAGGGGCCAGGCACAGGTCACACTAATGTAGACATCTTAGTCTGAATGCATCAATCACCAGCCACATCCTCAGCAACTCTAACAAGAATGAGGCTGGCTACTTAGCCTGGGATGCCACCAGCCATTTCCAAAGGCTGCAGGCACACTGGCCCACAGGGATCGCAGCTTCCTAAGATTGCCTTGCCACCTGTCTCTAAACTCACAAGTCCAGCAGACAGTATTGGAGCCTAGAGCACTAAGTGATGGAGTCACACTCCAAAGAGTGGCTGCTGCATCCGTCCGTCATCCTGCTTAAAGGGCAGGAGTAAGAAGAAAAAAAGTACCATTTTGTTTTTTATAGTTGAAAAATAGAAACACTGGAGAAACCGCCCATTTTAGAATTTTTTTAGAAAACACTGCAACTCACAAACATTACTGTGTGCTGAGGGAACAAGGAGGACACTGTCACAGATGTCACGGATGACTCCATCTGGTGGTGCATTTGTGTACACACTAACCCTGAGAAGAAACCAGCCTCCTCCCTTTGCTCACACCACCAGCAAGAGAGCTGGACACCCAGAGGAGAAGAAACAAGCTGATCCTCCCTGCAGCCAGTTTTCAGATGCTTACAAAATCAACTGAAACACTAAACTTGCCTCACAGGGTGAGTCCTGTGCTAACCCAACTGATAGCCTGGGTTTGCCCAGAACAAAGTCAGTTCAGCAACATTCAGAAAAACAGCCTAAGCACAGCTCCCATCTACAGTGGAAAATAACTGAAAGTGTCTATGTCTTCAGGTCTGTCTGCACACAAAGGGTGAGCCTGAGTGGCCCCATGCTTCCCTCTTGTCCAAAAGGAAAAATGCATCCTAGGTACTGGGTCAGAGCCAGAAGTGCCATCGTGCACAATATGCATGAGAAGATTAGTCCACCATCAGCATCTGTTTTTTAGACTTCCTCATGTGTTCTCCATCCCTCTGGGAGCATCAGTGTTAGTGGCTCCTTGGGGATGGAAGGTCTGGAGCTCTGTAGGAGGTCTCCCACCATGCTCTACTGTGCAGCCCGAGGTTCACAGGGGCCATCCACATCCTGTTACCACAGGCAAGGCCAAGCCCTCAATCCTGCACCTGCCTCCAAGCTCTGGGATATCACCCACAGGCCTGGCAGCCACAGTCATTCCAAATGACTTTAAGTTCTGAACACTTTGCAGTCACCCTCGACCCAACAGCACCAACCAAGGACACAAGTGTCCTTAAATGCTCTACTGAGACAAATTACTGGCATTCCACAGATCTGTGGCACAGATCTATGTCTGCTGGGACAGTCCTACACTTAGGACATTTATCATCCTTTTCTTCCTATCCACACCAGGGGCCTGGGGTCCAAAGGACTTTACACGTAAATTCCAATGCAGGTCCCCTGTGGGTGACGAAAACCCAGGTAGGGCCAGGTCCCAAAGCCTTTGTGTACAAGATGTCACTGCAGGCTGGTGAGAAAACATACTTAGAGCCCAGCTGACACTTGCTAAGTGCCTGGAAACCAGAGGCATGAGGGCTCCAGGTCAGATGCTGGGGCTCAGAGGCCATGGGCTACCAGAGGCTCACCACCATCGACGTTCCTTGTACCGTCCAGGCTTTCCAAGCCCCCTACCAAGTGTTGTGTGACTCAAATGCCCTCAAACCTTGGCAGGACAGCAATCCCCATTCTGCCACTCTGCAGCAGGACTACCAAACAAGAGGCTGAAAACCCCCAGGCACTCAGCAGTACCTCCCAGGAAAGAGGGAGAAGGCTCTACACTCTCAGACCTCCTGGAAGGGCTGGGCTTCCATGCTGTTCCAGAAGAATCCCATGGCTGTGACAGGGCAGGGGGTGGAGAAGATCTTTGGCCCTGCACAGGGTCAGTTGTTCCCATGGCTTCCCAGAGCCATCCCCTCCCTGTGTGACTGGCAGGACCTGCTGCTCTCTGCTCAGCAGGGAGGGCTGGTTAGCTCAGGACACAGTGTTCTGGAAACACTGTCTCTCCTCTAAAAACCACCAGCCCTTCCCAAGCTCAGCCTTGCTCAGATCCCGTGCCTTCCCATACCCCCAGTCATGACCTTGGCAGTTAGTCCACCTCTGTGCCAGCCAATACAGCAAAGGTGTTTGTTAGCAGCTATTCAAAGTGCCCACACACCACCCAGGAGCACACTAGACAAAGGCAAGCATCTCACAAAGCTGGAAGTATCCCCACAGGAAATAAGAATCGTGTATACAGATGCAGCTATGTGCCTAGTCCTTGACAGCTTGTTGGGAAACAGCCACGAGCTTGCCTATTCTTTATACTGCTTTTGGTAGAGGGGAAATGGCTAGTCATTATTTTTGTTTGGGGTTTTATTGGAGATAGGACTGGCCTTACACTTACTACATAGCCAAAGTAGGTCTTATATTCCTAATCCTCCTGTCACCACCTAGAGCTGGGGTGGCAGGCATGGCTACCACTCCCAACTCTGATCTCTTTCTTATGTATGCACGCTCTGTCTGTCTGTACACCTGCAAGCCCGAAGAGACCATCAGATCCCATGTGGATGTTGGGAACTGAACTCAGATCCTCTGGAAGAGCAGCCAGTGCTCTTAACCTCTGAGCCATCTCTCCATCTCCTTCTAGACAACTGAAATTCGCTCTCACTGTGTTGAAGAAATTTCCAGGACTCAAAGCAGGAAGTCAGGTGTCCACATGTCACAGTCATAATTTGATGGAATCAATTCTCCCACCTTTTCATGGGTTCCTGAAACGGAACTCAGGTACCAGGCTTACAAGGCAAGCACATTTACCCAGTGGGCCAGTTTGCTAACCCAAGAATCCAGTTCTAAAGAAGCAGCAGTGGATCCCTGCGTCTGATGGGGGGGGGGGCTTAATTTTCTATAAGCTCATATGATTAATGACAAACTTAGAGGGTGGTTTATATTCCATTTGTTTTTGTTTTGTTTTCTTCAAAGTTTTCCTACTCTATAGCTCAGGCTGTCCCAGAACTCAAAGCAATCCTCCGGCTTCAGTTTCATGAAAGCTGGGCTCACAGGTATGTGGCACTGAGCCCAGTTTCATGTTATTTTAGGACGGAGGAGCTTTAAAGGCCTCTACACTGCCTTCTGCCCTCTGCTCTCCTGTTATTTTTCTGTCACTACCTTAAAAAATATAGGTAAGATATGCTTGCCCAAACCACTATGACTGGTGCCACCCAGGACCCTAGACACTCCTGTGGAAACCCATCCCATGCATACAGAGAGCCTAGACCACCACACAGCAAGACCCACCACAACAAACTACAGACAGCTGCAGCAGAGAAAAGGAGAAAAGGTCAGGGGTCAGCATCTCCCTAGGGTCAGGAAGTGAGCCTGTGCTCAACCATGCAGAAACAGCAGCAGGCACAGTGCAAGGTGCGGAGTACGTACGGCAGGTGTACACGTCTCTGTACTCCATGTGCTCGTAATCGGGGAGAATTCTCATGAAGCGGCCTGACTTCACTCGAGGGTTTATACCTGAACAGACACAGCAGGAAAGCCTGAGGGTCCCCCCTCACGTGCGGGCGGGCGGGCAGCTGCCGTGTGACTCCGTGTGACTCCGCACCCTCGTCCTCCTGCCACTCCTACTCCCAGGGGTCCAGCGGCTGAAGAGCACACTGTGCGGCAGGTTTCCCTGCTTGCTACAACTCACTGCAGCCATAACCTCAGGTGGCCCCTGTGACTCCCTCACTCCCTTGTCACAACTCTTTGGAGCCTAGAAGCAGGAGAGCAGGTGTGGCTGACAGGTCCCTAGAGGTTGGGCCAGGTTCCTTCCCTACAAAGACATTGGCTCACAGCCACCTTCATGAGCTCCTTGTCCTCATGCTGTGTGCTTTAAGGCAACATCACACCTGTCATTGCTGAATCCAGACTGACCAGCCTGGCCACCTGTTCAGGGACTCGGTTGACTCTTTCTTCAGCCATCAAGTCCCAGAGTTTAGGAGTGTTCACAGACTTTCAAAAATCTCAGCTCCCACACTGTAGCATCACCACTGAAGTATGCTCCGGCCAGTGCAGACCAAACCCCCAGGGTGCTGAGAAGCAGGCAGAGAGGATGGGCTTTGCAACTGCAGCATACTCACAGAGCCAGACAGCAGAACTCTGCTGTCCTCACCTGCCTGCCTCCACCACACATCAGTGACACTCTCCTGGCCCTGTACCCAGGTGGTTTCTCCCACAGGACAGAAGGGCGCAGCTGAGGAACCCCATCCATGTTCCTTGGGCTGTGACACCTGGGCAATGTCCACAGCTGTGTCATCCTGTGAGGATGAGACAGCTGGTGCTCATAACTCCCAAGAAGCAAGCTGCTTCTGCTGGCTTATAATGACGAGGATCAGGTAGCCACACTCATTATCAGTCAGAAGGGGACAATATCACCCAAACAAGAACGGCAGCCATTTGGCCACAGTGTGGAACACACGAGCATCCCAGGCTCTGGAGAGTGGCTAACTGGGGACGGGGGAGCACAGCAGACAACTCTGAGAGACAGAGCCAACAGTGCTCCCCACACAGGAGTAAATGTTCGGGTAATAGATATGCCATTAACCTTGACCTGACCAGTATATATTGTGTATATGTAGTGATGTCACTGTATCCCACAAATAGACACAATTACCATGTATGCTAGTAATAGAACATATGGGCTGGCTGGGACTGGATCACAAAGAGAGCACTTGCCTAGCACTGAACGCCCAACACCACCCAAAGTAAAATCTAGATTGTAAACACAACCACGGGCCCCAAATGTTTTGGTTAAAATGTCTTTAGCCATTTTGAACTTAAAAGTGATATGTGCAAGACAGGAGGAAGCAGCAACCCCACCATCAGTCATGGCTGCCACGTACCTATTGCCCTCTGCTACAAAGGAAAGGTGGTGGATAAGACAAAGGGACTGACTCACGCTTTGCATAGACGTCCCGGCAAGACACGCCTGTGATCTCCAGCTTCCGCAGGTTTTCACAAACGCCATACTCTGCAACAAGAAACACACTAGAAGTAAAATCGAGAGCTCACAAAGCAGCAGAGCCAGGGGCTGTGACAGGCAGGCAAGGATAGGCAGACACTCTGTGCCTAGTAGGAATCTGCCCTTCACTGTGATGACCTCTGCTTGTTCACAAATGAAGGTCTTGTTCTGCTGCAGTCAGGGCCACCCTCCATGCACACCTGTGCTGTCTGCTCTGCTGTGGTCCAAAAGCCGAACAGTACAAATGAGGTGAGGTTCTAGATAGTCTGGAAATGTTCACACCTACATGAAGTCTATACACTGGTGTTAGACCCCAGGTGCACAGTATAGCTCACCTCAGCCCTGGGTCTGTCCCCACAACAGATGCTGGAGAGCAGTCAGCCACCTGACATCTCTTTGGTCAAACTGCCCTAGTCCCCCCCTAAGGGAAATGCAAAGGGTTAAATGGGGCAAAGGATATTCCATCTTCAGAGAAATCTGTAAAGAGGCATTCTACAGGAATCTGTCCCCAGTCAGCACTTAGATCAAAGACTACACTTTCCTAAGTTAACCAGCAGTGTAAGAGGGTGAGTGGAGCTCTAACCATTCAGAGTGAGACATGGGACCCTTTCTTTGCCTTAGGAGTAAAAACTAAGTGAGACCCCTCCACCGGGTGCAACTGACTTCTTAATTTTGAAGAGCCACACACAAACCCTTCTGCGGAAGTAAAGCATCTTCCTTTTCAAAATTCTTTGGATGATGTGGTAATTTTCTTGACAGACCAGATCCATTTCTAACACCACACCAGTGGAAAGGTCCTCAGGACCCTCCTCCATCTTACCACAGCTCCACCTCACACCCAACTCATCCTTAACCAAATGCCAGCCCTTTGCCTCAGATCTCAGGTGGAGAAGGGGGGCTACCACTAGAGGGCTATCTGCCCCTGAGCAGCCTCCATCCACATTGCCACCCCTCACCAGTGCACCCCGCAAGGGCTAGCAGGAGCCACCATATTTAAACCTGACAGCATGCTCAGGGAAGGCCCATGTCCTCTCCATTGGCACCCAGGCAGGAGGCACAGAGGTGTCGTGACCTGAACAAAGTACCACAAGCCTACAGTGTGACCCAGGACTAAAGCCAGGTCAGCACCCCTTAGTAGTGAGCACATGGCATGAGAAGGGGTAAGAGGCTCCTGCAACCCAAGGACAGCTTCAGCTCACACTCACAGTATCACATAGCACAACCTCATCAGATGTTCACAGTGACCTCCCATGTCAGGACTCCAGCCCTGCACAGGGTAGGACAGCAGCTGCCTGGAATGGGACACAGTGCAGCCCTCATAGTCCCCAGAGGCTGGTCCTTTCCCCTTCAGCCCATGCTCTGGATGGATGGGGTCCTGCCTGTACTCATGGGCTGTCAGCTGCAGGCATTGAGGAGGCTCTCTGGGTGGCTTTGATGGGGTCTGAGGATCTAACTTCTTTCAAGCTCCCTCCCTCCACCCTAGGTCCCAAAGGGCAGCAGTCCCACACAGCATTTCTCCTCAGGTGTGCCTGGCTGTCCCCTCCAGAGAGAAGACCCAGGCAGGGTCCCAGCATTGGTATACTGGTGTGTGCACGTGTGAATGAATGTTGCTGATGATTAAACTCAGAGACTGACTCACACAGTGGTCATGGCCTAGATCCAAGGCTGCATACTTGGCACCTCCCACCGGTGAGCTCATCTTCCAGCACATCACAGGGACCAGGCCAGTGGTCTGTAAGGCCCCACCTCCTCACAGCAATGCTAACTGGAAGGAAGGATGCTCATCAAGAAATGCAGAAGAGACAGGAAGTGGAGAGACCACAGGTCCAAGATGTGGGCATCTTAGCCATGTCTCTCTGGCTCACCTTCCGAAAAGCCACCATAACCCCACATCCCGATTACAACTTCAAATATGTTGACCCAGCACAGTCTATCCTTGCAATTGATTACTGGAGCTAAGTGGTTCTTACAAAGTCAGCTGGGAAGAAGGAGCTCAGACAAGGGCAGCAGTATGGCCCACACCCAGCACCTTGGGCCTGACCTCCACGGAAGTGTCCTTGCCAAGAAGAACCAGAACTGACTATCAAGTTCAGCTGCACTGGGCCTCACTGCACAGTGGGTGCACACAATGGGGGAGGCACCAGGTCTTAATGCTGTCTAACCTGAGCCCCCAAAAGCTGCCTCTGCTCAGGTCCTCAGGCCTATAATTTATGTGTGAACTTCCCTCTAAAGCTAAGAGCCCATGCCCGAGCCAGCTCTAGATGGGGTAACCATAGGCTAGGGGACATTTAAATGCCCACCTGACTGATTATCGTGAGGACATGCTACATAAGGCCTCAGCCCTTTGTAATGAAGCACCAACAGATCTGATCCAGGAACCAGGCTAACCTCAGAGAGGAAATCTGATCACTAACATGATTTAAGTCTGCAAATTAAACACAGGAAAGTCTTATCATGGGCTGGCAGTGGAGTTGGGTGGAAGAACACGTGCCTCCATGCACAAGGCCCTGGGTTCCATCCCCAGCACCAGGGACTGGGGGATTCCACCAGCACACTACCCAATCACTTCAGTCATCACAAAGCTTCCACCAATGGCTGACACAGGACCTAGGCATATGATGGCTTGCAGTAGCGTACTCCATGGTACAGTGATCAGGCAGCAGGACTGTCCCGTGAGACTGTGAAGGTCTCTGTAATATTTGAATGTCTCTGAGAAAACAATGCTAAAAACCTGTCTATCACCATTAAGCCAGGGTCTCAGAACACCCTAACACTGTGACAACTGTTTTACTCTGTCCTTTATTTCTGTGAGATAGTCTCATTCTGTAGTCCAGGCTGGCCTGGAACTAACTGCACAGCCCAGGGTGGCCCCAAACACATGGATATGGCTCTCTGTTTTTTACTGGAGCTCTCTTTATTCTCAAAAAAAAAAAAACCAAAAAAACAAAAAACAATTTGTGCTAGGGATGCAGCTCTTGCCTGCCTAGCATGCCCAAGGCCCAGGGTTCAATTCCCAACACTGCAAAAGCAGGCCTGGTGCTATCCCAGCACTTGGAAGGTCTCGAGGAAGAAGGATCAGGAATTTAGGGTCATCCTCAGCTGCACAGTGAATCTGAGGCCAGCCTGGGCTATAGAGTGAATTCCAAGCCAGTCTGGCCATAGTGTAAGACAATGTCTTAAAAATAAAAAAGGGGGCTAGCTTAGAACTAGAGAGAAGCTGTCCCTAACTCAGCAAAAGCTGTTAGGGTAGATATAACTGCTCTCACATCCCTCTAAGCCTATGGCAGCTGGGAGAGGAGGGGGTGCTGTGCAGGATCCTGACCAATGGCAATGGCTGCTGAGACTGGGGCAGAAGAACCTCACACAACCAAGAGTGGGTTCTGAGGCACAGTGGCTTTCCCTGGTGAGGGGCCAGGACTCACGAAATCAGAGTGGCATTTAAGAGGATGCCAGGTCAGCTGGAGCAGTGGGCGGCAGCCTGATGGAGGCTCCCGACACCTCCCACTGCCCACCACTGTGTTGCCTCAGTGATGTGACCCTGCAAATTCTGGCAAGCTCTGAGCATGAATAGCTGACTCTCAGGCTGTGCCAAGTGTGGTCAGGCTCAGGTGAGGGCTACAAACAGGCCTGTCTACCTGTGGCCAGAGGACTGCAGCAGCTGGTACACGCAGTGCCGCTGAGGATTTCCCCACCCACCAGACCCCCTCCAGGGACCCCAGTTCTGCTCCAGAGACCGGTCAGTTGGCACTGCTTTCCTGCACTCATCTGACAGACACTTCCACACTGTCCCCTACTCATTCAGCTCTTCACATCACTTCAGACCAGTGACTTGATTTTTCCTGCGGCCTAACCTGGCAGAAACCGCACTGGAGCTGAGAGAAGTCAGTCAGTGCTGCAGTACTGATGAAGGCAGCAAGCCACAAGGGCTTTTCCTTCTCACGGACTCTGATCCACCATCAGGGAAGAGCGGAGTCATGGTGACCTCACGGCTCCTCCTGTCTACATAAGGCTAAGAACAATCACACACCCTGGCATTGTTCTGCAACCTTCCCACAAGTCGTCAAAAAAGCTGCTCTTAGCTTAGCTCCCATACTGGGCCCTGGCCAGCAGCTAGGTGGCACCTTCCCTCCCAGGAAAGTTAATGCCATCATTCTACACCAAGCTCAGCCAAGAAGTTAGCCTCCGGGCCTAGTTTGTTCTTTTGTATGGTGCTAAGGATGGAACCCTGGGCCATCCCTAGCCCAGTGCACGGTGCTCCTTAAGCAAAGGAATTAGCGCTGCAGGTTGGCAGTTTCTCTTACTCTAGTGAAGTGACGTCAGTGATGCTCTTTGAGAAGCACCTACCCCACAAAGGGCAGCACAGCAAGAGACAAAGCCTGGGAGTGGGGTGTGTGTGTGCATGAGCAGACTGCAGGCAAGCTACAAACCTGCAGTGTCACCGCCGCACAGAAAATCCAACTCAGACTCACCATGGGCCGGTCTGTCTGCTGCCAGGTTCAGGCCCAAGGAATTGAAAGTAGAGTCTCCAGAAACGTCACACTCCTCACTCATACGCCCTTCCCGGCAGTGAACAGTGGGGGCTGTGGACGGGTCAGCAGATTCAGCAACAAACATGCAATGAGATACTTCTCTGATCCACACTACAACACGGATTGTAAACAGACCACTCACAAACACCATGAGATTCGGCTCTGAACTCCCCAGAGCATCCCTTTGACAGATATGAGAAGAGGGAGCGGCTGCACGGGGCAGCACTGCACCCCAACAGCGCCTCAATTTGGAGAGACAGTTCTAGAGAAGGCAAGTAGGCACTGTGCTTCAAGAGTGAGCCTACCATCCCTGACCTGAGGGGAAACTGGATTTAATGATGAATGTCTGTTGGGCCTTACTATATAACACAGACCAACCTCAAACTTGTGATCCTCCTGCCTCAGTCTCCTGATCACAGGCATGCACCTCCATATCCAGCTGTTACATATTTTTTTTTTACTCCAGTAAAAAAATAAAAA